TTCGAAACATATAGNCGGATTTCTTATATTTTTCCTTCTACCCTGAAGATGGAGGCGATACGTTCCACCGAAACGTCGATTAACACCACATATACATGGTGCCAAATCCCAGAAGACTGCTTTCTTCATATAGTTGTATAGTATAACCACCGAAAATTAATATTGATACTTTCCTCTGTTTCATTTTTGATGTTAAGTAAATTTGTTTATATGCCTTCATTAACTGACTTCATGGAGATGAGCCTTCTTGAAAAGCCACCAATTACGCATCTACTCAAGAACTTACCAATGTTTTATGGAAACCGACGGTTCATTACCGTGTTCACAAGAGCCGTCCACTGGTCTCTATCCTGAACCAGATCAATCAAGTCCATACCACCCCGTCCTATCTCTAGGATTCATTTTAATATTGTCCACCCACCTACGTCTTTGTCTTTCTAGTGTTCACTTTCCCTCTGACTTCTCCACGAATATCCTATACGCATTCTTCTTCGTCCCCGTTCGTGATGCGGCCACTGTATACTGTAATTGTATGACGTCACAGGATGCAGGGAACAAAGAGTTTTGTGTGGTATCTGTCGATATTTACATCTTCGGCCCACAAACCGCCACATTCATGGTATTTATCTTCTGCCGAAACAGAACATCCTGTACAGACATACATTTAAGAACAAGGGACGACACCCCGTGTGAGGTGAAATAAAATGCACCAAAATAACGGGGGTATAATAGAAACTTTAAGGTATTTTATCTAGTTTTACCTTGAAAAGGGACTGCAGCGTGTGATTTTAACACGGACTAACACAGTGTAGCAATTTTAACATAATTTAATAAAATATTTGTAACATATCAAGACACCTGAAGATGGATATTTGGGGCCGAAACATATAGTGTCAAAGTGTATAATGTTAAACTAAAATTAAAATTAAGTAGTGAATAAACAAGTGTTACAATATTGACGGACGATAAATACATGGACGCTAAGTTAAACAATTGCAACAGGACGCTGAAATACAGAATTATCCGGTCATGTTTATGTCATGCACTTCATGATTACAAAGTAAGACTTTCTTGCGTAGGTTTATGACTCATATGACGAGAGAAACCCCCGATTTCTATCTGAGAATAGAAGTTTCGCCTGGTTTAATTCTGCGCTCCAACAAAGTTACTTCACACACAGCAGACGCACTATTGTCAAAGGGGAGGGGAAATAAATGTAACCGCTATGCCCCTACCCCTTTCTTATAGCTGTAATAAGACCAAGATACTGAGGCTGTAAACTTAACTATTACATTCATTTAATTTTTTTTTCTTCCTACAGACTTGAATACACGACAACCAAGTCATTGTCGTGCTTCTTTTGGTGTAAGAGCGAACAAAAACCTGCCCGAAAGGTAGCAGCATGCAAGGAGGGAACAAACTGAGGACGCAAGTGGGGAATGTTTTAATTTGGTCTCCTCAGAAAACTGCTTTATTCTCCTTTACTGCGAAGAAACAGATGGTCTCCACTAGGCATACAAATTCCTGCAAATGAGCTCACACTTTTCATTAAAAACCTGTGTAAGCGCACTCAGCCCTCATGAGGCAGCCATTGAAACCGTCCGTCAGGGAAGCAAATTCTGAGACGCTAAAGACGAAGTCAAGAAATAATTAAACTTGCTTTAAAAACAAATTTAATTAAAAACTAATGTATACCACTTATTTTCAGTGAAAGGGAGATGAAGTCAGTAGTTATTAAGTTGCGTGTAATAGTGTAAATGTAGTGGAGTGGATAATTAGAGCCCCAGCTCCCGAGAAATAATTAAATTATACGCAGATATTAAATTTAACTAGTAAAATTGCAATTACTTTTATATAAAGGTATGTTCTTGAAACAGAAAATGTGGCAACATTTTCGGTCACAGTGAGTCGTCTAATTTTCTTCTTGTATCGGTTAAGAATTGCAACCGTTGTCTAACAATGTTTATTTACCTTGTAATATTGGATTCAATCACATAGGAGTGACGGTCTGCACTGATAAACTAGCAGCCGCATGGTCTTGGGTTCGAAATACGGGAATGTACAGAGTGATTCTAACGTACACGTAACACTTACATGCGCATTGATTTGTAAGACTGTGGGAGACTGACAGACCTGTATGCATCACGTCACTAAACTCGCCCTCTTATGCACTTCTTGATTTATGTAAACTATTGTGTGTGAGGAGCCGGTCACAGTAGCCGAGTTGTCTAAGGCATGCACTGTCTTCGCTCGCTCGGAAGCCGGGATCGTGGGTTCGAATCCCACTCATGGCATGGATGTTTGTGTGCGTTTTTCTGTGCTTGTCTACAGGTAGAGGCCTTGCGACGAGCTGATCGCTCGCCCAAGGAGTCCTACCGAATGTGTAAGATCTAGTAAACCGAAGTGAAACGGAGAGTTTCATGGAGGTCGGCCTAGGCCCAAATTGGGGCTGTAGCGCCACAGAAAAAAAAATTGTATGTGAGGAACAAGTTTGGTAGTGAGCCATGCCTTGAATATGCAGACTTACAGAGCAAACGTTCTGCTTGTTGCACTATATTTCCGGTAGTGTATTTAAACATCCTTACTTACTGAGCTGAGCTGAGCCCTTCTTAAGGAGAAGCCAAATCTGCAGCTACTCAAGAATTTCCCAGCGTTTTATGGAACCCGAAGGTTTATTACCGTCTTCACAAGAGTCCTCCACTGGTCGCTATCCTGAGCCAGATCAATCAAATCCATACCATCCCATCCTATCTCTCTGAGATCCATTTTAATATTGTCCACCCACCTACGCCTTGGTCTTCCTTATGGTCTCCTTCCTTCTGGCTTTCTCACCAATATCCTACATGCATTCCTCTTCGCCCCAATTCATGCTACATTCCCTGCCCACCTCATCCTCCTTAAGTACGTGTATTTAAACATCCTGTTGTATTAATATATCATTGATTTCATACAATATATTTCCTTGTACAATGCAACTTATAATTGTCTACATACACAGAACGATTAGAAACACTACTACACAGGCAGGGTTAAGAAGACGCTACAGTCAAAGGGGCATACATGATAACTACACCAGCATACTTTGGAACTACACAATAACAGACAGACAGACAGACACCCATGCCGCAGCGCAAATAAAGCCAAACATGAAGAGCTGAAACAATGTTTCGGTCACTGGACGACGACCTCAAGCAAAATATTGGAATTTTAACTAGTTTTTATTGATTTTAACTCAAGTTCAATTACTTTAAATTAAGATATCTCATTCACATATGATATGAGAAGTTGGGCATACCATACAGTGCAACAATTTTAGCGAATTAGAGACAGCTGATGATGAAGAAAGCCTTCTTGTGGGATGTGGTGCCATGTAGATAGTGTGTTAACCGACGTTTCGGAGGAACTTATCGCCTCCATCTTCAGGGTAGAAGAAAAATGTATGTCAGTTACTGCTCGCGCTGGTTCCTCGCTCTCGGATTTTCTTTTTTCCTTCTACCCTGAAGATGGAGGCGACACGTTCCTCCGAAACATCGGTTAACACGGCGCCACATCCCAGAAGACGGTATTCTTCATAGTCACCTCCGTGAAAACCTCAAATCTTACACACCTGATGATGGCCTTGTACGGCCGAAACATGTTGTGAGAAGGAGACAACAATAAGTTGGAAATATCTTGTATGAAATAATTATGTATCCGATTTTTTTATTCCCCTAAATATGTGAAATTATGACGTAATCGTCTACGTCAGTTTCTGGTAACGGCGCACTGAAAAGGTGATTCTGACGCGTTATCACTGTACAAAACACAATGAAGCACCGAACACAGATATCACATTCTCTGACATTGTCACGAAGACTGGTAATTGTACTGCATTTCAGTCTGCACAACTCGAGGAGCGACAGAACGAAAAGCTTAAAGTATCACAGATATCACCATGTTCCCGTTGTGACGCGTGTAAGCATATCACCTTTAAATTGAAAACGTTTATAAACAGGCAACAGTTCACACAAACATTTTATTGTCCTCACACCACTAAACGCTGTGTCTGTGCTCAACTCATGTCACTGTAGTCCAGAGAGCAGTACTGCAGTGTGAGGTTGGTACAGTTCCTGGGGCATAGCGCGTCTGTCAAATGCTTGCATCGTATTCTCTCGAGAATTCTTCTAACCTTGTTCAATGGCTTCTTCCTCCACCCCCCTCTTCCAGGGTTAGGTTGGTGACCGAGTCAGGCGTTCTCTGTTAACCTGTCCATGTCGCCTAATCGAGTAGATCCCTCCCACTGACAAAATTCTCAATCGTTTCTTCGGATATAAATATCAAACTCAAAATTGACATTTAAACTTACATACATTTTTATTCACTACTCCTGAAGTTGACACTCGATACGATCAAATTTAAATATAAGTAAAATGTCAACATGTCTGATTATGAAAAGAAATCGTGTTTGTATTGCAGTTTAATGAGTTGTGACACCATGCGTTCTGATAGATGGTCACAGGCGTTTCGGAGGAAATATTTTTCTCAATCTTCGTAGTTAGAGGTAGTGTATGTGCTCTAACACACTCACATCCACTTACAAGGCTATATGATATCATAACCACAGAACATTTACATTAGTAAAGCCGTTAAAATGATAGGTAACATAAATCAGTTTTGTGGTGGGGTTTGAATACGCTTTTGAAGTCCCTAAGGCTGGGGCCACACGAACGCACAAAATGCGTCCGTTGTAACGAACGTCATGACTTCCGTTGTACATATAAACAAGAGAGGCGAATGCTACGCTTTCTTCTGGCTCAATTATAGACAAAGAAACTACGCATCGCATTCTGCAACTGTGTGGTGTCCTCAGCAACGTCCGTCATAAAGTACGTTCGTTGCAACGGACGCATTTTGTGCGCTCGTGTGGCCCTAGCCTGAATGGTGCAAATGAAGAGCTGTAGACTTGTTACGGAACCTACATACACATGCTACCATGCTCAGTAATGTGCTTCTTGTCTTACCTTACGCAAAAATTATGGCAGCAACGAATTTTCTACGACTTGCATCGGTCACTAATTTCTATCTACTAAAATTTTGCCATGGTGGCTTTATGTATCGGGTTTGGGAAGTATTCCAACTCCTGAAATAACCCCACAGCAGCAAAGGGGGCTCCGCTGGGCGTAGTGGGAGGAAGTTATCTGGTAACCAATCAAAATTAATTTGCTATGTACCTCCAGCAACTATTATTAGGGTGCTCAAAGCAAGGAGGTTGAGATGGATGGGAAATTCAGCACACATCGAAGACATGGAAAGCAAATACCGAATTTTAAATGATGAACTAAGCGGGAACCCCATTTTGGGTAATTGTGTGCAGATGGGCTATAATATTCAAATTTATCATAAGCAGCAGAATGTTAGGGCGTGAAATGGAGTCATGTGGCTCAGTAGCGAGATGTATGATGGGAAATATTCCGTAAAGGATGGATAATTTATGGGGGCACTCGACAGCATAGTTGGTTGAGTCACTGTGCTGCAAGCTGGAAGGTCACGGGATCGACCTAATCCTTCCAGCCGCACTATGACCCTGGGGTCGACTCAGCCTCTAATGAGTACCAGGAATATNCAGCCTCTAACAGAAATGAATACCAGGAATATTCTTGGGGGGTAAAGCGCGGCTGGAGCGTAAGGCTGACAGTCTCACCGCCATCTGTGAGACGATTGTCTAGAAAATGTGGGAGCCTCAACATCTCACAACCCTATGGGCCTTCACGGCCTGTTACAGGGATAGCTTTAGATTTATGGGTAATTTATTGAGCAGGTTGTAGCTTCTTAGTACGGACTGTTTTCTATAGAGTCGGTTAATTGCCTCAATTATTACAACAAATGTGTAATATGAACTAACAGGAAATGTAAATCGAGCTCATCTAAATTCTTTTATTTATTTATTTATATTTTTTTCAGTGTCACTATCAAATTTAAATGAGCCCTGGTTCCGACCATTAAAATAATTTTTCGATTTCAAAATCTCAGAATGTTACTTTACTTCATGAGACCCGTTGCGATTCATAACATCTGTACATTTTGGCTGCCGATTAAGTGGCGACTGTTTCACTACTGCCTCAAAAGTTCACGCGTCCAACCGCGTCGGTAGTGCCAACTGCAGGGAGTTTAGAAGGACGAGCTTTTGGGCGACCCCTGAGAGCACAAAGTTGATGCCAAGTGTCATATAACTTATTCACCTTATTCACCTGATTCACACGTTTAAATTGGGAACGTTCACACAGCATGGTGATCTGACAGGCGTAGTTTATTTTCTAAACGTAGGCTTAAAAGTGCCTTAGGGCGGCCACACACCAGCTGCGTCAAGACAAGCATCAAGACATTAGACAAAAGACGTAGTCTTGCTTCATTCGTCAGCATCATGATTCAGACCGGTGTGCGGCGGTTTCCATAATCTCATTCGTTTCAACCATGCTCCTTCATTTGCATCATGTTGCAGACATTCTGTCTTGACTGTTACATGTCTTGACGCAAGCCGGTGTGCGGTCTACCTTATAAACACATTCAGCTTGTAAATGATCAATATAGTCTTTCTGTTTTCTGTAAGCATGGAAGGCTACGTGCGTGAATGTAGGCTTACTGATTCAAGAGAACTTCACGCGGAGGGGTGCGAACACAGTCGAAACCGCCCCGAAGGTCACTCCATCGTGTCGATCAATCATTCTTACCGTCATCTTACCCCTTTCCAGGCATGAGGACACTTGTAAAAACAAAAACTTGTGCATTAAATCAGGGAAAAATAATGACACAGGCTGATTCTAAATAAAATGGATGGACATGAATTATACCATAAAAGCCATAAACCAACATATAAAAGTAAACTAAACTGATATACACTTGGTCCTCGACTTACGCCCTATGCGCCATAGGACTACAAAAAAAATGAAAAATAAAAGATGATTAAAATGTAAAAGTTTTTTAAAAAATAAATTATAAACGTGATAAAAAGATTAGAAAGGATAAAAAAATACTGTTAATAAATATAGGGCCGACATACGACCAGATCGACTTACAACCTGTCAGTCAGAACGGAAGTCGGTCGTAAGTCGACGACCCAGTGTATCGCTTAATTAGAACATAATTTTGTAGTTCTGTAATCTCGGTTTTCTAGTCCTGAGCCTCTGTTTCCTTGAAATAGCTCCTCAGTTATCCTCACGAGGCCGAGTGGACCACGTTCCAGACCCACTACTTCTCATATAATCTGGTAGCGCCAGGAATCGAAGCCAGAACCTCTGGATCTGTAACCAGGAACTCTGACCACTAAACCACAGAGCCGGTCCCAAAACCTCTCTAATGTAATTGAAAATGTCACGAATAAGCATGATTAATATTAATACTAACACTAAAAAAATAATTCAGTTAATTTAGTTATTTATAAATTTATTTATTTATTTATTTACGTCCTTACTCAGCAGCCCAAAAGTCAATTATAAAGCAAGCACGAGCAAAGGTGAAAACAAAACACACACAAACACAAACAAACAAAAAAGAAGACCACTTGTAACATTTGGACAATAGCCATTCAATTGCTGCAGTCATGCCAATTATGATCAGATGTTAAGATGTATGTATAAATTAATACTGAATACAGTCACTATTTAATAATAAATAATTAGTAAGTTCGACTTATAAAACATAATTTAGATAAAGACTTCTGGTTCCAAATACGTCAACGTCCCTACAAACAACATTAGGTTCTGAAGCTCAACTAATAGAAAGACAAAGGCCGCGCCATAGCCCAAGTGGTTAGCCGCTGGCTTCCCACCGCGGTGGCCCGGGTTCGATCCCGGGTCTGATTAAGTGGGATTTGTGGTGGAGAAAGTGGCGCTGGGGCAGGTTTTCTCCGAGTACTTCGGTTTCCCCTGCCAATCTTCATTCCACCAATTGCTCCACAATCACCCTCACCTATCATCTGGGGCTGGTACAATAGGCCAGAAGTGGCCGCAGTACAAGGGACTTAGTCCCACCCCACTAGCAATGAAAAAAAAAGAGCGTCAAGGCGATGTTTCCTAATACGTAGTGTGTGCAATTTTAACTCCTCAAAAACAAGAGAATAGCGATTATGAACTTGGGAGAAGAAACGATTAAAACAGAGGGCCGCAAGCCTCTGTTGGATGCGTTCCAGCTTGTTGGCATCAGTGGACGTAATTGAATTCCATACAACGGACTCGCATTCAAGTTTACATCTAACTTATGTAATACATAATCTGTGCATACATTCAAGAGATGAGGAGGTGAAGGTAATGGTACTAACTAGACCAAACAGCTTAATACAATGAGAAAAAATATGATTGATATGGTTATGAAAATGAAGTTTACTATCAATAAATGTCCCCAAGTCCTTAATTGAATGAAGGCAGAGCTCAGAAGTAAAGTCAAAAGTTCAGAATTGAAAGCAGGCCTCAGAAGTGAAGTCAAGAGTTCAGAAGTGAAGGCAGAGCTCAGAAGTGAAGTCAAGAGTTCAGAAGTGAAGGCAGAGCTCAGAAGTGAAGTCAAGAGTTTGGAACTGAAGGTAGAGCTCAGAAGTAAAGTCAAGAGTTTGGAATTGAAGGTGAAGTCAAAAGTTCAGAATTGAAAGCAGACCTCAGAAGTGAAGTCAAGAGTTCAGAAGTGGAGTCAAGTGTTCAGAAGTGAAGGCAGAGCTCAAAAGTGGAGACAAGAGTTCAGAAGCGAAAGCACGAAAGCAAAGCCCAGAAGTGGAGTCAAGAGTTCAGAAGTGAAAGCAGAGCTCAGAAGTAAAGTCAAGAGTGAGAAGTGAAGTCGGAGAGAACACAGAAAGTGTGTGAACTGTTATAATTGATTATAATTATGATTCTGACGTCAAATAAACCGAATCATCAAATCAAGAATCTACAATTATTAGTCACGCGTACCCCCCTACATGGGGCAATATAAAAGACGTGGACTTTCTTGATAGCTGAGTGATTAACACGTTCTCAATAAGGACTACACATACTCGTAGTACTGTGAAAATTAGCTTATAGAATGGATAGACTTCCTCAGTAATATTATTTTTATTTTTTTATTGCTTGTGGGGTGGGACTACTTGTACTGCGTCCACTTCTGGTCTACTGTACCAGCCCCAGATGATAGGTGAGGGTGATTGTGAAGCAGTTGGTGGAAAGAAGATTGGCAGGGGAAACCGAAGTACTCGGAGAAAACCTGCCCCCGCGCCACTTTGTCCACCACAAATCCAACTTCACCAGACCTGGGATCGAACCGGGGATCAGGAAGCCAGCGACTAACCGCTTGAGCTATGGCGCGGCTCTTGTTCAGTAATAACATGAACTGCGAGATATAACATAAATATTTGTACTGTGATACTAATTGCAGTACCCTGCGAAGGTAAACGGCCTGCCGTTTATGTAGGTCTATGTTCGAAAAAAGAATGTACATACACGAAAAATGACCAAGTTCGGAGTTCGGAGCAAAACCATATCTCATCGTGGTTTCGTTGGAATACATTAGTGCATAATGCTGTTCAAGGATCAGCGTGTTTGAACATCAACACGCAAGGTAAAGGTGCGCTTAGACAGCTATATTCCAATGGGACGGGGCATTTACCTTGTCCAAAGTTTGTGTCATTAGTCGGCCAGAAAGAAATTGGGGGGGGGGATAAGGGCGACCTTTTACGAGTTGAGTGTTCCACGCAAACCCTTTTTTTTTTTGTTTTAATGTCAGTGATTTTTTTTTTTTTTTTGTATTCTCTTGGGACTTTCTAAAGCCACGTATGTTGGATCCTGTCGTGATTCAGCTGGTACGCCAAAACGCAGCAAACCCAGAAGCGAGGATGTTATGCCTCTAAAATCTGGTCATGGAGGCGCCATACTTGAGGAAAAGTTCGCAGATGTTCAATGTGGTTTCCCAGTAAGGCGCTCATAAGGATCACCACATATAGGTGTCACAATTTAATACCAGTTTTCACGAAATAACCACATTTAAACAGAGAGAACCATATAAAAGCACAAGCTCATATTCAATTGGCTCTTTCAGCGAGGATAAGGCGGCCGGGGCTTCA